GTCTGATTCATGATTGTAGCCAACCAAGTGGGAGTGCTGTCAATGATTATGCCTCACATGAGACCTTCCAATACCAAACGATTGATGATGCTACTAACCTTATTACTAAGGGGGATTACCTTGCGAAAGTCGATCTCAAATCTGGATACCGCTCAGTGAAAATTCATCCATCAAACTATCAGGCAACAGGACTTGAGTGGACTTTTACTGGAGAGGATCACCCCACCTATCTCTATGATACTCGCCTCCCGTTCGGTGCCAAGCTGGCACCGAGTATTTTTCACCGCCTGACCCAAAGTGTCCGCCGGATGATGGCCCGCCGCGGTTACGATGCAATGGTGGTGTATTTAGATGACTTCCTAATCATTGCACCAGACTATAAAACCTGCATGGAAGGCCTCAATTCCCTTATTAGATTGCTTAGGCAACTTGGTTTTTGCATTGCTTGGAGCAAAGTCGAAGGCCCATCTCAACGCATGACTTTTCTCGGCAATATTGGTACGTTCACTCTTGCAGTGTCCGACGTGTCTGTGTTTATAGTGGTAGTTCTGCTAACCCTTTGTGTACATAAATATGACGAATTATCGAAAGTATAAAGTGATTTTCTTCGTTTTAGGTTATAATATATATCGTTAGTATAAGGCGAGTTGTTAGCGCTTTCAAGTTTTCCCAAAATAATACGGATAATAGCCTATTTTGATAAGGTACAACTTCAGAATGTTTCTTGTTTGACAATAAGATTCGTCAGTTTTCTTCTTCCGACATTCGTACTTTGTATGGAAACTTTAAAGTTGCTGGTACATTAAAAAATGTGATACATGTAGATTTGTTTTCACTCGAATTCTTCCGAACGACCTCGATATGACACTATGACATTCTCAAAGCATCAACTAATTATTGCCGCTGGTGGCGTGCTTGCGGTATCCCGAACTCAGTCGACGCTGGGGAATTTTGTTCTGACGAACGCCCATTTTTGCCCCTGGGCTTAGGAAAATGTAAGAATGACGCTAGTTAAAATATTGTGATGATTTACTGCAATAGGTACGGCACATTCTGTAAAACAAAAAAATAGCATATTCTATAGCACCGATACTATCAGGCGGGTACCTTCATATGGCTTATGATTTTATGAACAAGGACTCTGAACAAACCGGGAACTGACTGCTAGACAACTAAACCCAACTCGTCTTTTCAATTTTTGATGGCATCCGACAAGATAATTCAGACTGATACACCGTGTCGGCAACTTCCGTGAAGATAGGTGAGGGCTTCGAGTGTGGGAACGCAAACGACCAACTTGAAAGGTTAGGGGGTACACAGGAATGGTCAAGACAAACAGAACACATTACAACTACACAAACACGATATAAAAACCTAGCCCTGGTTATTTCCATCACTAACATTGTAATTGTATTTATGGACTATCATGTTGCCCTCATGGTCTTGCGTAACTAGGAATTCAATTATAATTTTATAAAACATCCGGCACCTGAAGACACTTTTTTTTGGGAAACAGGCAGTGTATAATGAATCTCACACAATTTGTAAGTCAACATTGTTTTTGTAGTTAGTATATACTATGCAACTTGACCTGTGTTCAAGATCTGGAAATGACAAAGTGATACCTTCTTGACTATTCAAAAGGTTGTTATCATGGTAGTTCCAGTTCTTATTGTTCTGTGTACAATTTTGCAATGACTGTTGGTAGCTTTCGGCTTCATTGATAGCGTCGATATCTGAAGACGTTATCGCAATACCTGTAACTGCAGAAATTTAGAAAAGCCATAAAAGATAGCGTTTTTGGTGTCCTTCTCGCCTGTTATCTTATATTATGTTACCAGAGTCGCGAGAGCGAGATTTGAATGTGATCTTGGTATCATGTCAGGCTACTTTCAAACTCCCAAGTAATGTACCTCTGATGTTTCCAAAACTCGTAAGCACAGACTATGCCTTGACCCGAAAGTTGTTTTCACTGCCAACACGCATGTGTGAGTGTGGTCGGGCACACAAGCCAGTATTGGCCGGCTTTGCTGATTACTTTTCTCATTGAATAAAAAACAAGGTACTGAAAACCTTTGCTAATATCGATCTAGACGTATTAGCAATATATGATGTCTGATCAGACGTGTTTTGGCTCTAACATTTTACCCGATCAGACCAAACACTACCATGTGAGCTAGGATTAAATTCTGGGATCTTTGCATAACTTAAACGACTTGTGTGGACACCCAGTCGGATAACTACAACAAGCAGTCGAATTGACTACAAGACAATAATTATACAACACAAAATACACTGAAAACGATGATTATGTACTCTGTGCCAATAGACAAAGACCGTTCAAAACAAAATAAAGCTTGCAGAAATATAAACATAACTGATATTAAAAACAGAATAATTCGATTTACAAGAAACACATACTGCATTTATTGAGGAATTTGACTGAGTAAGTATAAATTGTAATTTTATCCACATGGTGTGGAGGAAATCCAAACACATCAATTGTATCTCACACACACACACACAAAAACATTGTAACCTCACATTGTGAATGCGTAATTGGTCATAGTACACAAGCGCTAGAGGCCGCGATTCAAGAGTGCATTATACCAACAATAACACAACATCATGTTCAAACGATACATGATACCGGCCGGTGTTGCTCGTAAGCACTAATCTGGGACGTATTATCGATACTCTCTTTGTCTGACGTAGAATACTGGCGTGTTTCGATTGCTTCAGTAGAGTCCCTTACTTTCGTCGATTGGCAATTGTTTTGCTGTTTTCCCTTATAGAGACGGTATGTTATAAATCCTCCCACTAGAAGCAAAAACACCACAGCGCCAACGACGACTGCCCACCATGGGAACTCTGTAATCAAAGAAATGTCACTAAATTCAGTTTTAACCAGATTAACAAGTAAGATCAAACGGTTTAGAAATACGAAGTTCATAGTCTATGGGAGAAAAATACTTATGTTGCCAGCGTTGTTTTAAATACAAACGAATACGAAATTCATCGTTTAAATTGTTTCCTTTTCCCCAAACGTACCGTGTCCGTTTCATAACTTATGAATCAATTTATTGGAACAAGTATCGGCACTGAAATAATGTGTTACGACTGATGGCGCTCTTCAAAACTATGACGTGTTGCGGTTCATCGACCTGCGCTGCAAAATGCTAACATTACCTCGACTGGTAGTACAGGCGGCTTCAAGTACACTTTGTGATTCATCGCTGTTATCGCCACAATGGTCATATTCGTCACACATTAAGGAACTTGATATACATCGACCATTCGTACAACGAAAACGACTACTGTCACATTCACCTTAGTAACAAGATCAATATAACAGATACAGTAAACGACAGAAACGTGGAAACGTTGTAAATATAGATTTTCATAAATCAAAATTTATGGATTCGACATCATCCAATGAGCAAGTGCATCATTTTGAATTAAGTGGATGGTCACTGTTAGTACTATGTCACGTGACTGCACGCGTGCGCATTATGGGAAATGTTGACCTATTGTGCCAATCACTATAAAATGTGTTTGATGATGATCGGTATTTGCGACGTTTTATAAATATGTATATAAACTACAGCTTTCTTCACTCTAAACTGGTATGAGGATGTTACTGTAAAAACATTAGTTTTCACTTGTTTCACTATTTTGATATTTGATCGAAATCACTGATTTTTTAAGTATTTTTAATTATTACATATCTATGTAGATTTAACGGACTTAAAACACGAAAAATGAGTTAACATTATTTGAATGAAATCTCTGAATACACTTAAATTACAACAGTGTGTTACCATGGCACTGCGTAATACAATGGGTCAAATTGTCGTATT